GTCGTGGGAACGTTTTACACGTTTAACTATTCCGGCCGTCATATGCGCGTAGGTATAAAAATAATAACAATAATAACGCGTAGTACTGCGCGGAGACAAAAGGAATAATAAATACGTTTTTTTTTTTCCCTAAGTTTTCCATTTTTTCCCCCCGTGTTTTTATTTGTAATTTTACGGTCTGCGGGACACTACAGCGCTACCTGTACACCGTATATTTCGTGTGCGTATGTACATATATATATATAATATGTTCATTTCATTAAAAGAGTTTATCGCCTTCCTTTTTCTGGGTACGCGACACATACCGCAGAGAACGCGTACACACGTTATATTGTTTACGCTGTTGAAAATCGTGGTAAAAAAAAAAAAAAAAAAAAAAACAAGTGTAGCAGAGATTTTTTTGTGTTTTTTTTTCCTCTCTATTTCAATCTATATTTTAATACGTATACCGTACCGTATACTTACTTACGTACCGTATATACTTTGTAAACTACGTACAAGTGGTATTATATGTTTTTGGGAAGAAGGGCTTAAGTCGATTTCGTATATGGTTTTCGACACGGGGCAAATTAAATATCGAAAATACATAGTATACACTTGCTGTACGTGCATTAATACACGTATGCCGTTCCTTCATTATAACGTATACCCGCGCGCGAGTATTATAACGCGCTATTATTATTGTAATGTTAAAGATAAATCGAATGCTCCCCCTCCCTCTCTCGTGCCGTGCTCCTCCGGTCCCTCGAAAGTCAAAGAGATAAATTTTTAATTTAAAAGACTTCGAAAAATCCGCGACCTTTTAGCGCGGGTCTCTATCTATATACGGCCTGTATTAAAACGATTAGTGAAGTATTATTATTATTATTTGACAAATGAAAAGTGAATTAATTAAAAACTTCTTAATTGCAAAAAATAACTGATATATATATATATATATATATTAAACATTTCATAATTTGGTAATAATATAAACTTCTGAAACCGTTAAAAGGGTCTTATTTCCCGTGACTGATATCGATTCATTTTTATTTCTGTCCGAAAATTAATGTTTGAGATTCTCGACCGGCCAATTATAGTATACTGTAATAATATACAGCGTCATTCAAATTTCACAATACAGTCAAATTTGCCGTGAATACTTGTTTTTTTCCCCTCAAAAAAATGACTTTTATAAAATAAAAAGGACAACGCAACATTTTAAAATGATTTGAAAAAGTTTTACGTTTGTCTTTTTTTTTTTTTTGAAGTAAATATTCCATGGAATATTACATATTTATTCGTTTATTTGCCGCGTAGTCGATTTTTATTAGCATCGCTCCATTTTTTTTTATTTGTATTATAATTATTATTATTATTTATAGCCCTTTTTGCATAGGTATTAAATAAATGCGTTTAATATCGACTTATATCCTCGTTTGTATATTTAATAAATATATGCATATTTATTATTTAGTATGTATGTTATTATTATTTTCCCGTATTGTCCGACTTATTCGTATTATGTACGCATATTACATATGTATACCAGGCGTGTTCCGTTACTGTCGCGAATAAAAAAATAAACAATGTGTACTTAATAAATAATTCTTATATATCTGAATTTCTATTGGTTCGATTTATTACAGTTATCATACTATATTACGTCTGATGGACAATCGAAAAATATTGTCCTAGGTGAAAAAAAAAATGTCTGACCATCCGTTTTCCGGAGTGGAGTATGAGCATCGGTGTAGTTTAAAAATTAAATGAAGTTTGTTTTATTACGAATTAAACTCTTAAATTTAATGTACATCATGTATTATTAAAATTAAAAACCCAGTGGGAGGTAACTGTCCAGTCATATCTTCCCAACCCGGCTTCCGGTGAGACGACCAAGTAGTAAGAGAAGTAAATTCGATTTTCCTCTTGTTTAACCGATGGAACCCGCAAATCAAAAACTTAAAAAAAATCTCGGCAATTCTAAAGCCCATAATGCGAGCATATAATAACGATTTCGGATCAGATTATTTTTTTTTTTTTTTTATAAATACTGCGGGGAAAACGTTTATAGATTTGTATTTCAAAAATAATACTGTCGCCAGTCGAAAAATTCGCGTCTCTTATGGTATATTCGTATATATATAATTATGGCACGTGTAGCAACCGGACAAACGGTCGCAGATACGTGTGCGTGTATTTTTTTTTTTGCTCCCGATTCACCCGGGGACTTTTTTATTAGTCCAAATTGCAGTCCCGGATAGTGGTTTGCGACCCGCAGGATTTCAAATGTCGTGTGTGTGTGTGTGTGTGTGTGTGTGTGTGTGTGTGTGTGTGTGTATGTGAATTAATTTCGTTGAATTTCGAGAACATCCAGTGCACACGAGTACATGACGATGATGACGGTGCCCGCAGCTTATCCGACCCGATCTCGTCGTACACAAGACTAGGACGGACTAGTAGTCGTATTAGTAGCAGTAATAATAATAGTAGTAGTAAAAGATATTTCCTTTCTGTGTCTTCCCTAGCACGCATCACTGTACAATGCGAGCGCAAACTTCGTCTGTACAGAGGTATATAATACACGTCGCGAGTTCACGAATAATAATATGTTTACATTATATCCGCGGAAGAGGATCGAGAGATATCTAGCGGCCAGGCTAGAGGAACAGAAAATATATATGTATAGGTGTGCATGCATAAATCCGTCGGCAAATGATCGCGAACATACACGTGTATACACACATTGTATAATGTTGTGTTTGTGTAAACCCACGTTTTACGCCCCCTCGTCCCCCATACCCGCCCGTCCCCTCGGCCAATGACAGCTCGAATTTAAACGCCCGGCAATAGCCCGCTGTTACTGTACATCTATACAGCGCCCTGCCCCCGCTCAATTAGTACAATATAATAATAATGCATTTGACGTTATACTAACCGATTTTGTAATTTGTCTGTTTCAGGTATGTGATATTCTATATGTACCGCGATAACAACGAAGGTTATTTTGTAAGAAAAAACTAAGCCGACGCGATGTCTCCGACGAGTATAAAATCGTAACGTTGTTCATTATTAATTATTGTTGCTTAGTGTCCCGTGAATAGAATATAAGCTAAGGAAAACTTTTAAAATGAAAGCGTTAAAAATCCCGGAAAAAAAAAAAAAACAGTCCAAAAAGCAACTAACGCAATTCAAATTTAAAAACTAGATAACATCATGACCGTGACGTAGGAAAATGTCACTAGATTTGGAAGAAATAAACAAATATGCACGAAACCGTTGGCATAATTTTCAATCATTATGAATTGAGTTTTATTACTACCGGAACTAGTGCGTATGACCCGAATTAAGGGAGAAGAGGCCGGCGAAGACCGCCACGACGGCTTCGGGAATCTTCGTGGCACAAACATTTACACGGCGTGTTTTAACGGAAACGGCCCATTTTCGTGCTTGGCGCGGGTAAAAAGACTAAACCAAAATGGAAATTCCCGTTCAATTTCCGTGTCGCTCGTCACCGAAGTTCGGTTCGGTTATTGGCGACTTTCGGTTCGATTCCCGACCGGATCCCTGCCGTGTTCGTACGTGGTCGACGCATTGCCAGTTGATTTGATATTGGGGAAAAAATAAAAAAACCCTCCCCCCCACCGGGGCCTTTAACGCTCGAACGCTACGCGATAATAACATTGCGCGCGGAACAGTTCCCGATACAGGCGCCCGGGCAACGGACGCGGTGGCGCGTCCGTCGACAATATCGACGCCCCGGCTCGGGGACAATAACGAAATCGACATTTTCGGTTCCGCACTCACACACACACACACATTACACTATACGATTTGCATTCCGGTCCCGGTCCCGTCTCGCGAACGCCACACGCGCGTGTGCGTATACATTATGTACGTTGTGTTTTTCGTTTACACTTCATCCCCGTTCGCGCGCACGTAAAAACATCAAGTATTTAAACTGCATTATATCGCGGCGTGTTCGTTCGTTATTTTGCGCCGCCGCCCCGCGATTTTAATTAGTTTTCGCCAAAAACGCTCCGCGGAATCCGTCGCACTCGTATGAATATTAAACGGGTAACGCGATACGAGCGACTTTTTCGAATAACGTTTTGACTTCGCGAACGGCGCGTATAAAAATGATATTCGCGCGTGCACTGTGTATCATATAGGTGAGTTAACTAAGACGCCGTTGATAACAATTCAACTGCGCGGGCGCGCGCAAAGTTTTGACGGGACAGAGAAATCGTTTATTCCGGTGTATCGTTTGTTTCGCTATTATTATCTGTGTATACGGCACCGCAGCAGATTATTCTGTTAACGGTAAACTGGCGATAATCAATACAACGTGCAATTGGTATGATGGTGTTTTCTTCGCGCGTCGACGGGGACATTTTTCCGGGCCGGAAAACGAACAGTTGGAAATTCGGGGCGAGTGTCGCTCTCACCCGTATTGACGGCGATAATGACGGTATAACCTAGAAAAAAAAGAAAAGAAAGTTAATTGTACACTTGCCTTGCGTTCAATATTTTTTTTTTTTTGAAAAATATCACCCCCTATAATATTTTCCACTCGACGACCTTTAGCGGAATTATTTTTACGCGCGATTCCCGACCGTGTGTCCGTTCATAATATTCTTGCTTTTTAAATAAACGTATACGACATGAACTGTCAGAAGTTATTTCAAAATTACAGTATAACAACATGTATTATAAGTTTTGGAAGTCAAAAGCAATATTAATATCAAGGATGAATCGGCAAAAACTTTATAAAATAACTCTAAATATCCATAAAACTTTGTCGCTGAAATTACCATCCACATACGGATAATAATAATAATAATAATAATGATGATGATGATGATCATTAATTATTAAATGTATATTATAAAAACGTACATTGCAAAGTTACGTGTTATTGCAAAGTTGGCTGTACCAAAATCAATTTTTTTTTTTTTTTAGATTCTAAACGCGGTGAGAAACGTATCGCTTCCGTTAACGTTTATGTGTGTGTGTGTGTGTGTGGGTGTGTTTATGTATGTCTTTAAACAACTTTTTTACCAGAAATTTTGATTCGATAAAAAACTTTATTGGCATTTTCTTGTAACGTTTTTGATCTAGTTGCTGTATTGGAAAGGTTCTTTTTTTGACTTTCTTTGTAGTTTACTTAATGATTCGGGAAACCGGTAATATTTGTTGATTCCCGAGTTAACTTCTGACAAGAACAAATACGACAAATAATGCTTTGCTCAATATCGTATTACGTTAGAGCTATGATTTATCGTTGAGTACAGACATAAATTAAATAACTGGTTCCTACCATTCCAATTTCCCATCTACACCAGCGGCATACCCATAAATTGTGTGAGCTCTTTTTGTTTTATACATATATTGAAAATAATCATTTTATGAATTCGTGCGATCCTATTCTCAAAGTCGTCATTATATCTATACAATTTTTTTGTACACACCGTAGTTGTTTTTAATTTTTAATTTTGTTATATATGTTCTTCATTTGATTCTGTGACTGTCGGGGATAGTGATCTATTTCAGTTTTAAAATACTTAATTACTTTTTAATTTTCCTCGGAAATCTTTTCGACGTTGTAATCTTGTTTTGCGAAATAACTTTTTTTTTTTTTTTTTATCGCAATTAAACTAAGATGGTACTATCAAAAAATTTAGCTTCTATTTTTAATCTACTTATACCAGATAAACAATATTATTAGAAATTAATTTTAAATTAAAATTTGCAAGTTAAAAATTAAAATACACTCGTGTGATTAACAAATGAAAAAGATTTGTATTATTATTATTATAATTTTTTTTTTTTTTTCAATATACGGTTATATTAATAAATATGCTTTATATGTTTGTTATAAATTATAATAAACTTATTGTTTTGTTTCAAATAGACTCGATAGTGTTTAAATGATAAAATGAATTATAAAAAACAGATGGAGAAAAAAAATTTTGTAAATGTGTAAGCATATTAGTAGCAGCTCACCTAATTAGGCAGAAAAGTTGCTGAACCGCATGACATTTTTGTATTATAATATAATATACAAATACTCGGTTTATTATAAATTCCATTTTTCAATACAAATATGTACATTTAATATTTTTAAATTTTTAAAATAATCAACCGTCGGCCTAAAATCAACAGATTATAATGAACAATAACAGTACCTCGTTTTCTATTTCTCGTAGTAATATATTATTATAACATATACTCGCGTCCTCTTGTAATTTTCGAGATATTCGCCTCGCCACTTATACGCAATGCTCACGAGTTGCCACTGCGGCGTATTCTTGTATAATCTACGTGCAATTTCTCTATTTTGCCCTTAGATATTAAATACATATTTTAAAATATACGACTATTTTACGTCTAATGGTATATGTTTCGCGGGAAATATTTCTATAAACTGACGAAAGGGAAAAAAAAGGAATCCGAATATTCGACAAAATATATAGACGAGTTGAGGGTATATGTTTTGCTTTTTGCTGAAAAGCATAAAATAATTTTTCATTATATACGCGTGAACGGCTATAGTGCAATACCCTGGCTGAGGATCAAAGAAACATATACATAAATATTTTTTATTTTATTTTTTGAAAGACTAATTTCTCGAAAGGGTGTAATTATTTTATGTCGAGGGAAAAAACACATTTAAACGTGAAAACTTGCAATTTGAAAAAAAAAATCAATAAAGATGGTATCGAAATGTATTATTGAAAATCATGTTTGCAGTTTCAAGAATACGATTAATGGCCCAACATTCCTTCTACTTCTTATATCAGTTGTCCGCTCGCCGAACTTTAGTTCGAATTTCGCTCACAAATACAATGACCAGAATTTCATATTATTAAACGTTTATAGTCATACTCATAGCATAAATAAATTATAAAATCAGATAACCACTAGCACGCTAGAGAGTTTATAATTTAATTACTCACCCTCAAATAAGTATATGCGGGGTGATTCTTTTATCGCAGAACACTGATTATTTCGTAAAGTCTATACTTTGTGAAATAATAAGTGTTCAACTATAAACGAATTACTGTGTATAATCCGTAGCTCTCGTCATTTTCAATAGTTCGATTTTGAATGGCATCGTGTAAGCAATTGTATGATTTGTAATATTTTTCTAAACTTCTCGATCTTCTATACTTCGTATGATTTCTATTACTGGCCTAACATGACCATCAAATTTAAGTGTTTGACGATGTATTGAAGGGAGGAGTCTCCTATTTTCTCGGATGTTCAATTTTACCAATATTGATGCTTTTATTCTATAAGCCGTGCATGGAATTTGCATCATTTTTCTATATCGTGCCATTTATAATTATTCAATTTTTTTTTTACGACAAGATGCGTTAATAATTCATTATTCTGAGCCATATGTCGCTATGGGAAAGACCAGCATTTCCAACAGATATGTCTTTGTTTCTTTCTATCCTAGACAGTTAACAGTAATTTCTGTTTTGGCCATTCATCAGGCAACGCTTGTAGCGAGTAAAATTCATACTGAAACCGACTCGACAAGCGGACATCGTTTAATAACAATAATAATAGGCAGGTGGTTTTAGAGTCGTCGGACCTTATGTATGTGATGTATGCGTTCTCTACGACCGTGATTTTAACTATTGTGCGACCGCAGCATATTATATAGCTTATGACCGAAGAGGCGAATGGTTTTTTTTTCCTTTTCCGCACATGATATAATATTATTGTTATACTCTCGACTAAAAAATTATTATTATTATTATTATTATTTATTCGTAACGAAATAGAGTATAGATCTCGTACCGAGATGTGTCGTTGTCGTCTGTCATAATATTATTATAATAGACATGACACGTCATAGCGGCGACGACGGTTTTGTTGTGCACGCATATAGAAAAACTACAGGACAGAAAAATCGAACTCGCCTAACAATCGAATCTATATAATATATTATATAATGAGATTTTTCTTTCCCCCCACCCCTTCCAAAACCATATACGACGCGACGTGTGCAGTTTGTGAGTAGTTGTCGTTCGCATTGTATAAAATAATAAACGTCATCAGCCGATCGGCACAAAACGGCAGCACTACCTATTTATATATATACACACACGCACGCATACACTATACAGTCTTCACGTATACAGAGGGTGTCTCACCACGCGATTTGTATGTGTGTATCGTATAGATTATATAGTAATAAATAACAATTGTTTTCACATAAAAATATTTTTTAAACGTGAAAAATGGCCGCGAAGACTGGCTGACCGTGAGCTGAGAATGCAAAATCAACTTCTATACGAACAGAGTGCTGGATCAGAATCCGGTATAGGGAAAATAGGACGTGAAACAATTGGACGATTTTGGCGATAGCTGGACGATTCTAGAGTTCGAATAAACCCGAATGATAATAATACCTATTTAAAATATCCGTGAAAATAAGTAACAGAAAATCGGCAGTTTTACATTTTTGGAATATTTGAAAGTCAAATGATAATTTCAATTATTATTTACCTAATCAAAACTATAGCTTGTACGCGGCCCTTAAGCACGGAAGTGATTTCCGAAAACCTGATGTTTTTTTTTTTTTTAAACCGTTGTATAGAAGAAAAATTAGTTATTTACCAGGGTTACGTACACTCTGTATATACAATTGTCTGCCGTACGTTGTCGGGCGTGATATAGGAATATAATTGCCTTATGGCATTTTCTTGTCTTTGTAAAATCTATAATAATATAATGTACATTATAATAATGGGAATTATAAAATATTAGTTGACTTCAGAGGCGACGGCTCGGTATTTAATTCTCTGCGACACAGGGTTGAGGCGCCATGGAGATTTCAATCGCGATTCTGCTCGATGTGCATCTCGGGAGTGTAAATAACAGTAATTATTCCTATCGAACTATCTTTACTAGGTAAATTATAAAGTGTATGGTACACGAGTGTGAACGAACAAGTCGTTGTCGTCAGACTTGCCAAATATTTTTTGGCCGTATACGATTATTTCCTGTACCCTAACCGGATGGGTCATCTCAGTTCCCACGACGACAATGATGTCTAAACCGAATTCTGGACCCATAAAAAGTTAAGCTTTTGCAGCGTTCCGACACCCACACAATATTCGACGGTATTATATATATATATATATATTTATCACTTCTACAAGTTTTCGTTCTAACTTGCTGTGCGTGCGCGTGGGTCGAAAACCTCGTAGCCTGAATACAGACATTTTGTAACAATATTATGTATGCATTTTTATTTTCTTTCGAGGAGCAGCAGGTCGGTTTTAAAGTTAAACATCAACAAATTCCCTAGGTGTTTTATTTTCTAACATGAATTTTTGTTTACATTATCCGCCGTTGTATTTATTTCTGTATAATATTATAATTGTATAGATATTTCATATATTATGATTTATTCGTACGTTTGTATTATGTACGGACTACAGGGTGTGCCCCAGCAGCACTATTTACTTCCGAGAAGCACAATCGGGTTTGGACCGCCGGTGCCGGTAAGTAGAAGTTGTGTTTCGTAAATTATCGTAATTTGTGAACAGACCGTAGAATCTTCGTCTGTTATACTTGACCTATGTTTGACCTGACCCGACAATGATACTTTAAAAGCCGTACCCGTTATAGCCAATAAGTGCATTAAATAAATCCAGCTGTTTCCCTTGTAACTCGGCCGAAATGTACAGCTTCAAGATTGTCAATAAACACTCGTCGTAGTTGTTGCATTTTCAAACGAATGAAGGGACATAGCCCCCCCCTACCTTCTACCGCTGTACACGTCACCGATTATAATGTGTAAACTAATGCTGGGTTTACGCGTACACGTCGTACATGTTCATGTACTCCAGTAAACCATATTAGCAATGCAGTATCACCAATATACTTACCGGCGTGTAGTTGGAAATTTCCCACTTATTCTGTATACCACTATTGCGCCACTAGAACGTGCACGTGTACACCTTTCACAAAGTTTATACGCGAACTGGGTATAATGTCCGGAAATTCTGGGCGGGGGAGAAAAAAATTAATTTACGGCGATACACCCTGTATATAAACGTATTAATAAACGTATTATACTCGTATAACAATATACGTGTACGCATGTATATCGCCGTTTATAAAATAATCCCGTTCGCCTATATTTACCATAATGTACACACGCGTGTAGATTAGGTACCCGTGCACCCTATACCTATACGTGTTATATATTACGTACATTATAATATGTACACAGCTCGAATGTTCGGCGATGTCATCCGCATACTCGGAACTCCGCGGTGTATATATTATGCTAATATTGAGCCAAATGTCGTCGCGGAATCTATTGTGGAGCGTTCGGCTCGTTTTTCGAAATCCGCGTGTTTCTACTTGCCCGCGCCGTGTCTCCCGCACCTCGCGGCGTGGCGTTTATCGAGTCCGCCGCCGTCTTTTCATATCCACACCGTATCGTCATTATTGTATTATAATAATATAATAATGGAAATATACGCGCGTGTGTATATAATATAAACGTTTCGAAAATCTACCACGGATATACATTATTTACCCTTATATTATGCGTAATTAAATTCACGGTTCTAAGAGGTGGTCTGTGTGGTCGAGGCGATTTTCCGCAGCGGTCTAGAACAAACGAGTCCGCGATATTGGCACGACACGGAATACCTTTTTTTTTTTTTTTTCTGTTTCTGAAGTGTGAATTATTAAAAAAAAAGTCATTTAGTTATTTAGAAAGAGAGAAAGGTAAAATACGATTTTTAATTTACTTCTTCGTCGGTTGTCCTTATACTTTACAACAGTATTATCATCTCCGTTTAGTAAGTCCACATTCCTCCTCAGCGCGTTTTGCGAGGAGTTAATTTTATTCCGGGTTCTTTTAGGTCCTAAAAGCGGATTCTGACTTCGCCAAGCTTTTCCATAGTAATCTAATACCCCGGATTGTATCTAATATATACAATATGATCTGTTTCCGGAAGAATTCCTCTAGCTCGTTGTGTTTTTGTTCGTATTCTCTACTAAAGTTCTTCACGTCCGTGTACGTATATTTTCTAATAGGTTTTTTTGTCGACAATGCGAATGCATTTATTGATTGAATGGTTAATTGGTAAATCGTCAAATCTAGGTTCTGTTGAAAAAGTTCGCGAAATTTCTATTTTTCGTTCGGACATCCGAGCTACCGATTACTTAGACAAAAAAAATAAAATCCGAAAATTTTTTAGTTTTAAGGAATTGACAAATAAAAATTCTGTGTTCTTGTACGTCTGCATGATTTTTTCCAATCGCAATGTTAAATTAACAAGTAAATGGACTCTCTCTTATTAGAACCCAGTTGATTTTCAAATTATATCCGTTTCTGTGGCGAGTATTTTTTAAACAACAAAATATATTGGTATCGCGTATTCTTTTTCCATGTACAATATTGAATATCATATACTATGTTATATATTATACTTTTATTACAATGTTTCCGCTATGTGCCGGTTTCAAACATTATTTCTTTTTCTCGAAAATCATTAACGATCGCGTTAAAACTTTCGAGTATCGCATCGAAAGGTTTTTTTTTTTATTTTTTTTAAAAAAAAACTTAATATTTTTTAGTACTTAACTACTCGGGATACTTATAACAACAACAACATCAACAACAATAAGGGTGTTTTCTAAAAGTTCATCCCGTTTTGTTTTGTTTATTGGTCCTACACGTTTCGTTGTACGCACTTACGGCGAGGTCGAAATGTTTACAGCTCGTAGATAAAACGGACTATATAGACGTAAATTATATTTGTACATATTGTTTTTTTATTGCTCCGTTTGAAAGTCCGTCGTGTATAATGTTATCATGGGTCGTTCGATATTAATTTAAATGTTTTCGATATCTGTATTGCGTGAACATATGATCACGTTATTTCTCGAGGCATCCGTCGACGCTAAACAAATTGATCGGTATTTTTTTTCTCTTTATTTTATTATTAATTAATACCAATACAATCGTTGTTTTTTGTTATTGATATGCGCGTTTGGTTTTTAGTAATTCATAGATATTTCAATTGGTTAGCTGTGCTACAGCTCTTCTGCACCATAAATAACCGCTTCTCTGTCATAAATCAAATGTCTTCAATTCCACGCTAACTTTCTGTGCTACGAAGAATTGGCAGTTTATAGGTATATTTCATTCTCGGTATAATCCTTATTTTATTTCACCTTCTGTGTGACCTGGCACATAACATCTATATCCCTTCGCATAAATCAAATGTCTTTGGTCCGTGATTTTTCTTAAAACCTTTTCGTTTAGGTCACTCCACGCCACACCGTGAAATTTCGACCGTCTTGGAGTAACGCCGCATTTCACATAATTCTATAGTTTTCTATTCTCGACTGCAATGATGTCCATTGCAGTGCGGGCTTCACACACATACCGATGTCGAGTCTAAAATGATGTTCGCAGTTAATAAGTGATTTTTATCTTGAAAAGCCATTTTCATTTGTCCAATCCTATATGCATCCAAATATTGCAGCTCTTACGATTCTCCGTTACTTTAGTGCTAATGTAGCAATTATAAGTTTATACTTGTTCAATAGGTATAGGGGTTTTTTTTTTTTTTTTTTTTGTGTGTAATTCGACGTTTTCGCGTGTTTGGCGTCCCGTAAAATCGACACACGCGATTGTGAAACTACACTTCCACGTTTAATACGTTCAAAGAAATTTCGACGTATTATATTGTCTATATTAGTTACGTATTTATGTGTTATTACACATCCCGTATTCGTGTGTGTACACATTGTTCTTTTCTTAAAAAGTTCGACGGCGATCGGCTAAAGTATAAAATATTTACGCATGGAGGTTTCCCTCCCACTCCGTTTTTTTAACGATGACAACGGAAAAAATAAGTATATACTATACGAAAGTGGGGTGAATGTTTTCGGAACAATTTAATTTTTGGAATTTCTCCCCCGCAAAAAAAAAAAAAAGTCAAATAATTGCGGACGAGCTCTGGCAGCACGCACACCATATCTATATTGTATGTATGCATGTATTACAGAGTTATGCATTTGACACGCACATCTCGGTTTAAATTTTCTACTAGAAAAAGACAAACCGAAGCGATATTTCGCATATTATAATAATTCTACACTGCTGCGTTTCCATTCGACACGGATTTTACAAGTATAATATAAGCATTCCACCAACAGCCGTCGACAGTAATAATAATAATAATAATAATAATAATAATAATAATAATAATAATAACAACAACAATTATTGCGGTCGTATTACGGACACAGATATTCATTTTTTAGTCTGTATACAGGGCGATTCACTTATCGCAGTCCAACAATTTTCTCCGAGGATTTTGGGCGAATTCAATTTTTACTCTGCTCGGATTTTCAATCATTAAGAAATCGTTTAAGCCTTATTTTAATACTACTTGTAATTTCTTCCCCGTACTATTTATACCTTAAATGAGTATGTAATTTTGATTTTCACATAGGAACCCTCACTTTTTTAAACGTAGCAAACTTTTTTTTTACGCAATTACCGGTTTTGAGTTTTTAACAGTTTAACCAATTAGTATTTATTTCGTGTTTTTTCTTTTAGATTATGAATATGTATAACCCTTCTCTATTCATACAGTCTGAACTTTGAACTGTTGTAATAACGGTAATTATGATATTACTGTTATGCATATTAAATCATTAGGGAAATATTCTCTATTTGAATCCGTGGAGGGTTGCTTTTTGAAAATCCAAAATGCTGCATACTCATTTCAAGCATAAGCCGTTGGGATATCAACAAATTGAAAACAGCGTTAAAATAAAGCTTAAACGATTCAATAATGACTGTAAAAAAAAAAACAAACAAACTATAAAATCAAATTCAAAATTAAAATATGTGAATCATTCTGTATACTATAACATTACTGTCCGCTTTAGTAGTGTAATATAATTGAAGAATTTCGTCTCTTAAACTTTGTGTCATATTATGATTATTACACAGTTCGTGTTGTAATAAGCCGTGTATAATATTTGCAAAGACGTTCTATATAGGTAAGTATTATACCTAGGTAATATATTATTATTCTCGTGTCCCATTCGATTCGGTTCAACGTGCAATCATTCACGAATGCCTTCGTCTCCGTTCTGCCGCCTGTTGTTAAGAAAATAATATTATTCGTATTATTGTACCGGCCAATAGTATTAATATGATTTTTTTTTTCTTTTCAATAATGTGTTTATATTACTGATCACAGTCAGACTCCAATAGACCGTTCAAAAAATCGGTGAACACATTTAATATGATGAGTGAGACAGTCAAATATTACGCACCTTTTCACCAAGTCTCATTTCGAAGGAGCACGCCAAACACTAGCGCCCGGTATTTAAGGGGTCGCATATACCTATATTAGGGTGGCTATTGTTATAAAAGTAAAAGTTTTTCTTAATATTATTTTTAGCAGAGACTCCTTAAATTTGTTTTAACAGTTATAAAAAAAAAGTTATCTCCTCAATGCACCAACTAGATAAAAAAAAAATATTACGAGAAAGTTCCTATAAAGTTTTTATTGGAGCAAGATTTCTAATAGAAAAGTTGTTTAAACATAAAAAAAAAAAAAGCACATTATAGGTAAAACAATATGAAATCAAAAATATTAATTTAATTTGTTTAACCACGACGTTGTTATCACATCATCACTTAATCATTTTAACGTAATAAAATATCGGAATCTACATCGAAAATTACCTCAATTTCGATGTTCGATATTGTCTAAAGTATCGAATTACCGAATCTCCCATCCTTAAAAAAATGTATCGACTCTAATTATTGTGTATTGTGTATTGTATTTTTCACTTTCTAAACGGTTCACACGATTTTGTTCATTCTGCAGTGCAAACGTGCATAATTATTTTGCATTAATTCAAAAAGGGAACAAATTCGGTACTCTTCGAAATGATTTTGGCTATAAAATAAACGATACACATTAAATGTATAAAAACTATGTAGACGAGTGAAGTACGTGTTTCGGAGTCTCTATCGTTTTATCCATCTGAGTTCCGAAAATCTACAGAATCTGATAACTATTATTAAGCTAACCTAACCTAACCTTATTAAGCTTATCAGGAAATTCAACTGCTTATTCCGTGTCCTCTCAGTGACACTGATATATATAAGTTTAATTTAATTTCGTCTAGTTTCGTTTTTATTATTATTATTATTATTATTTTTTTTTTTATGCCATTACGTTTAATAAACAGTATAACCTGTAGCACACGTCAACCGGTAGACCGACGACGTTATTTTTAATCCAGCGGTGACATGTTTTTTTTTTTTCTTAACAAGAAGATAGACAACATGTTATTATTGCATATGTGTCGACGGCTATGAAATACGTATAGGTAC